GGTGGATGGATGCATGGGTGGATGGTTAGATGCGTGGATGGATGGGTGGATGGATGGATGGATGGTTGGATGGATGGATGGTTGGATGGATGGATGGATGGTTGTATGGATGGATGGTTGGATGAATGGATGGATGGATGGATGGATGGTTGGATGGATGGTTGGATGGATGGATGGGTGGATGGATGGATGGATGGATGGATCTGGGACTATCAGAGGTGTGGTCTTTGCCCTGCTGTGGGGCCACTACATCTTGGGAGTTCCCAGGGAAAAGAGCATCCCAGTACACACGTGCTCATGTTCCCAGACTCCTCATCCTTGGGTGGTGACAGCAGGAGCCCCGTCGTACTTCCCTTAGGGGCCTAACCTTTAGGTTTCCACCCTCCACCACCCCCAGCACCTGCAGGCCTCCTGAACTCTGTGGAGCCCTGTCAGGTGGGGGACAGAGAGCTGGCTTCCAGACCCCAGTCCAAACTCATGAGACAGCAGAGCGACCTCAGACAAGTCATTTGGTTTCTCTGGGCCTCATGGGTCCACACTTGAAAATCAGCGGTACCTGGATGGGACACCTCGCAGGATGTCGTAAACTGTAGAGTGCCTGTCACTTCTGTGGTTGTTATTGTGCTGATTTGTACCCGTGACACCGCTTCTCCTCCTCTTCCCTGCGGGTTCCCTGAGCCACTGCAGTCCAGTGTGGGCACTGCCCGATGGGGAAAGACTAAGCCACTTCCCAACGCCACTATGCATCAGAGTCACGTGGAGCCTGGTCCCCTCCTCCCACCACCTGCAGACACCCAGGCTTTCCCCTGGGACTCCAACTCCTCACAGCTGGTGGGCTTCTGCCCACACCTGGGAGACAAACTGCCTTTGCAAAGGGCTTTCTGAGGGGAACAAACTTGAGGAGAAATCAGGCCCTGTCCACGCCACCCTCCCCAGGCCCTTTCTCTCAGTCCTCGCAGCTAAGAGACATAGGTCCCACAAACCGTGGGCACCTGGGACCCATCACGGTCACCCCCCTCAACTCAGGAACGGGCAGAAACCCTGTCCTGAGAACTGGGAGAGTCCAGACAGCTCCCAGCCCGGCAGCTTGGGCCTCGACTGCTAGGACTCATCATGCTGGGCCTCCCTCCCCACCCTACTGGATCCCCTCCAGGGAAAAGATAGAGCCCAGCGCAGGTTTACCTACTGCACACTGGGACACACCTGCCGGGCAAGGTGACAGCCTGATCCTGATGGGAGGCTCTCTGGGGTCCTTCCAGAGCCCCTGCAATTGGACCTGCCTAGCATGGGCCCCGCCACCCCCCCCCGGGAAGCCCAAGGGGAGCAAAGGGAGTTGCCTCCGGGTTGAAACTTGGGCAAGCCACCCCCTCTCTGGACCCCCGCTTTGCCAGTTAGTAAAACAAGGGCGGCAGAAGGGGTCTCTGGGCTCTCTTCTGACCGGAAGTGTCCGGCAATGAATGGCTAGGATGCAAGGACAGGTGGGAGAGGTACAAAGGCG